GTAAACCAAGAAAAAAGAAGATACGCGTATTTATCTTACAAACATTCATCGGATTTTCCGTTTACACACTAGCAAACAAACAAACAAAAAAAAACATACTTCAAAAGAGTCTTCTCTTTATACAAAAGCAGTATCAAAAACATATATAATAGTGAAATCGTTGTCATTGTATCCTCATTCGCAATACTAAAGTACCTCAGGCCTCAAGCAGGCCAAAAGCAACGGTGTCAACACCGCAGTCTCCCCCATCTTTTCAATTGCATGCATCGTTATTTAAGAGGGATTCCTCATGCTCTTCACTAGAGGACCACGACGACGTTGAAAGGGCCTCTATAAGATGTTGTACCACGTCGTCTTTATATGCTGAGGCCGTAATGGCCCTGCTCAGGGACACCAGCGATGGTCCTCCTCCATTCACCGGAATAAATGCACATTTTGTTGAGGCTGCCACCATCGAAGGGTCAGGCAGGGCATACTGCACGTCCAGCTGAGGTGACGGCGAAAGTAATTTTGCTCTCTTTTTGCCCGTAACGACTCGATCAGCTTCCATAAGTTGGTAGGGATGATGACAGTGCTGCTGCCCACACTTCCCTTCGTTTCCGTGCTGCACTATTTTGGAGTGCAAAAACGGGGATGTTAAGCAACACTTACTCGGAGTCTGCCCATTATCTGTATTCCCCATCCACCCAGCTCCTACAAAGCAGAAAGAGGAGAAAAAGGCATAATATATTTTTAAAGAAAGGATTGATGGTTCTTCCCACCTGTCTCGCTCCTTTGCTTTCACACATGCCAATCACGGGACAACATCGCCGTGACCCCGCGTTAACTCGTTGGTTTGGTGGTATTCAGCGGTGTGGGTGGCACAATACTCTTTTTGGTGCATGCCGTCGCCCTGGAACCCACTGCGTTCATATTAGCTCGACGCGGCCGAAGTCATGTGGATTCTTACTGCTCTTTTTTTGCCTCTGGAGGGAGTGGATGTGTTTCCTCGGCATCCTTCAACGGCCGCATCTGTTTTTCATTGACTTTCGCAACCGCGTCCACCTCACTCCCATTGGCCTCCGCCTCCGTGGTGCTTTCTGTCTTATTCTCCTCTCCGTCACGGTCGCTGTCAGGGTCCTCACCGCGTGCGACATCAACCGGATAAATCCACCGCTGATACAACAAGATGGCAAAGACAACATCGTCGCGAAAGCATGCAAGACGATGCAGCCATGGCATCTTCACTATAAATGCAAAAAGATCATCAATAACTGTATTGAGGGCACGATACACAAACGTTCGCCACGGCAATTGTGCAACACTCTTCATTTTGTAGTTGATAAAAATTTGTGGAGTTAGCATGGCAAATCCAAAAAAGTAAATAAAACGTACCTGCGTATTTATAATGAACGAATACCAACCTCTGTGAGTGTTATAGAGCGCCGAATAGACGGTATACGAGAGCAGGACAGGCGTCATGGCATACATAAGATAACGCACGGCGAGATCATCGTGTTTGCGTGTGCGCCTATCGTAACCGTCGTTGAACGCAACCCACCACCACCCATTGTCCTGACGCACAACTCGCACAGTTTGTGCGAGCTTCCAGAACTCAATGAGAACAGCAAAACCACTAGGGAGTAGAATGGCCCATGACGTCTCATCACCGTCCAAAAGGTAAAGAAATACAATGGTTTGAAAGTAACAATTCAGCGCGATTGTACGAAGCGATAGACCTTTAAAATTGCTTCGATGCCGCCAGAACTTCACATCGTTTGAAAACGCCAAATATTCAAACAACATATGCAGCACGGTCACAATGGCAGTCAGAGCCAAAAAATAGGGATTTGTTTCCAAGAATATTCGTTTGGTCTCATCTGAATCCCCAGGCTTCGCTAAACCCATCTCTTGATGCTGTTTCATGGATGCTTCAAAGTTAACATAGAGAGCGAACTTCCACAGAGGGCGCGGGGATATTGTGATGGTGAAATTAAATGCGGAAGCCACTGTTGTGGCGTTGACCTCCACCAAGTGATCTCGCAGCACCCAAAAGTTGTTAATGTAGATTAAAGGTAGGTATTGTTGCGTTGCGTTGTCCATGAAGTAGTAGGGTCTCATTGCTGGGGGAAGTGGGCTGGAAAAGTCAACAATGGGACTTAGGATCAATGATGGTTGAAAGTAAGCTTTCCAGACAGTCATCGGTTCCACATCGGTGGTGTTACCTGCGTCTTCCCCCGGGGTTGCTTTTTTGGTAAACAAATGCTGCTTTTCTCTTGTGCGTCGAAACGGCAAGTAACGCACCAAGGGGAAATCCTGAAAGTATTCCTTTCCTCTGATGCTCGTTTTAATGATAAGAATTACGCTGCGATTTTCAGCATGGCATCGACGCAAATCAACGGTGTATTTTCGTGACACATCGCCGGTGTTATCATCGAGAACAAGATCTGAAAATGTGTCCTCGTCAAATACACCATCTTTACCAGATGTAATAAGAATGGAGTACACGTCGCCTCTTTTAGCAAAGGGAGTATATTGTGAGCTTACCTCCGCTGCTGCTGCATGATCTCCTCCGCTCAACTCCGATTCGCTATCACTCCTGGTGCGACTCGTGCCTTTCATGTCGAGAAAGAAGAAGATGAGGATAGCCACCATACCATAAATAAGACCTGTCCGCCACATCGAGTTCTGGGGAGGATGCTCTGCACCTCCATTTGGTGTTGGTGGAACAACCATGTATGTATACTTCTCTACAGTTAGATGTATTCAACAACACTTTTTCCCCTTCCTAGTCCATAGCAAAAAAAAGAAATATATATATAAATGGTTATTGAAAGTTCCTTCTAAACGTCTTTTTTTTTCCTCTTCAGGCCTCCACGTCACACTTCACATAAATAAAAGCGTGAATACTCAAAACTAGGCCCCACTGCCCTCTTCATTTACGGGCACCACTCCCTCCACTTTTCCTTCCTTTTTTCTTACCTCTTCACACACGAAGACGCCCACCCGCGAAGGGAAGGGAAAGAGGCACAAATATGTTAAGAGTAAATGTGCCTCAGTGCATCTACAGCATCCACAAAGCAAAATATATGGCCAAAAATGGTAACCAGACCCGCACCATTCTGTTTAAGCGGATGCTGCATAGGAATAAACATCCGCCACGTATCACGCAATGGCTGATGAAAGTAAGAAAGACCAGATGAATGCCTCAGGTAGTCGTTTACTGATAACCTTTGAGCGAATGCTATCACACAAAGAAAGAAGACAAGTATGAAAACGGTTAACGTCACTGCGCCATCATCACTTTTTAACTCAGCGTCTGAGAGTCTTGATCTCCATATCTCAGAAGGGGTACAAAAACCCTCTTTCCCAGTTATCCTTGTACACCTCCGAACAATTCCCGCCGGATTCCCATTCTCAGATGCCTCGGAGGGAATGCACCCAAAAGGACCTCGCTGGAAGGCCAAAAGACGGCTGCACAATTCATCCTTTACACGGAAAAGCACATCCAGTTTTGCTTGTGTATTAGACGAACTTTGCACAATACTTACAAAAACAACCTCCTGAAGATTTGAGGTTGGTGCAAGATCAAATGTTATGGAGCCCTGCTTTTTGACGCATGCAAGCCGCCACAGCAACATCCATCCTACGTTTATACTTGGTACCCACAATGTCAAGCCAAGTGATTGACTCAGCATCCAAATTTTCCACAAGAGCACGTTCCTCTGGAGACAAGCAATGCTGAGAAGACTCCGGTACTTCGTGCCTGGAATCCAGATTTAAAGTCTCTTCAATTTCTGTTTTTTTCTTTAAAATTTTCTCTGTATTTTCCCTTTTCCCCTTCACGCCTTTCCTTGCGTATCGCCGACCCAAAACCACTGTCACTGGAGCATCATGCGGAAGCCATGCGAGTTCACACAAAAATATAACGTGCAAGACAATGACCGTAAAACGAAATATTGACGGTACTCGACACGTAAAAGCGAACAAGTCATCTAATACAATTCCCAATTCTGTGAACAAAAAACCTTGAAGAGAAATGTTTTTTGCGGGCAATCGTAGATAATTGAGCGGAATTGAGCATTTTTTCATGAGAAAATTATCCCAGACATTTGGAGTCATCCGATATAAATGAGACATAATATAGAGTATACCAAACGATAGACGAAAGAAAAACTCCAATCCATCCTCTCCAGAAACCTCAGTTTTCCCTGTGAGTCGTTGAATAACATGAAACACGAGAGGTACAACAGTGAACGTCACGGCTTCTCTGTAAAAATCAAAATAGGAATGCTTTACCATTCTTGACATTTCTCGCTCTGCCAGAGATATCCTTGCCACAGAGACGCAATAGTAAAATACTTGAAGAATCACCACAATATTAAAACCAGAAATATATAAAAACTCATATGTTGTAAACATCCCCATCGTCAAAGTCCGACATACCACTTGAAGAGGCAAAACAAAACCTTTTTGACCATCGTCAGGTCGCATCCAAGTTCTTAGGACCAAATAGTACATTTCTTGAGCTGCATAAAAAGACATATCGTACAAGCGAAAAAACACCAAAGAACGGAGCTGTAAAAGCTCTTCTCTATATTTTTCAGCCAATTCAAATCTTTGACTCCCTCGGGCCAGCAAAACATCGTGTGCCTGTTGTACTTTTAACATTTGAGTACGGCAAGAGTCACAATTTGGATTCCGATCCGGATGCCAGCGCTTAACAGCCTCTCGATATGCACGTTTTATCTCATTTGGTGAGGCACTAGAAGAAATTCCAAGAACTCTGAAATGCGCCTCCGCCTCCACATCGATGAGGCATTCCCACAAAGGCCAACAATACCACAAAGATCCAAGTAGTATTATTAACACCACCACCAGACGGAGGAGGAAGCGACTACTTGATCCGTACCTGGATCTTCTTTCAAGAAACTCGCGCAGGCAGCAGTCTAACCACTTCGACTCGGCATCAACATAAGCCAAATGGGCCTTGTCTGCAGCGTCAATATCCACTGGTGCAGGACATGACACTGTCTCCACTTCCGATTCCCGTTTCTTTTTCACTAGAAACACACGATTAAGAGCATGCATTCGATCTACAAAAGCAGCAAAACTACTATTTTCCTGCAGCACATTCATTGCGGTACCATCTTTCAATGCCGGCTGACCTTTAAGTCCTCTAAGTGAAGCTAAATTACTGTTTTTGGATGAAATTCTAAAATGCATATCCCCCAATATACCCTCGTTATGCTTTTAGAAGGGCATACAAAAACAATAACAAACATAAAATACAAAATAACAGCAACTACCAACAAAAGGGTATAACATATATATATATATATATATATGAAACAAAAGAAACTTTTGAATACTCCGGACACACATGCACATGTCTAAACAAAATAATCAGCTACATATATGCATTTTTACAAGAGTCCAATAATAATAATAATAAAATGATAAGCTTTCTCACCGCAAGAAACAAGACGAAAATGCCAGTAAATACAAAAAAAAACAACAAAAAACATACCAAATTTATCTACTGAAACTCTTGCTGTTGGGAAATTTAAAAATCCGGCTTCCGGCAACAAAATGATCGAGCATGTAAAAGATCGCTTAAAAAATAAAAAGCACCAAACACCATCCACACATGTTGAGTGATCTTGAACACACACCATCCTCATAACCACCTCTATCAGGGGAGAGAATCCTTCACGGACTGACTCCTATTTAACCCTGCAAAACTATTGAAGAGCACCACCTACACCACAAGTTCCAAAGTAATGCTCTCAACTGAGATAAAAAAAAAATCTAATAGGCCAAAACACCAGAATACCAAACGTCATGCTTTTATATTTACCGCTGCTGCGGCCACATCAACAACGACAGCGACAAGCAGCATAGAACACCAATTCAGCTAGATACTTCAATATTTGCGGTCCATACGTGGTGAACATTCTTTGGCACAATAATACAGTTAAAATACACTTCCCTAGTAACACAGTTTCAGATTATTAAAAAATTCAAGAAAAACAAAACAATAATAATCTCCGTATAGATATCCAGGCAAGAAACTGACGGATACCAACTATGATATAACGTTTAACACTGTCAGTGCCATAGCTCATCTGGGATAGCGCACTAACTACAAAAAAAAAACTTAACAACCACACGCATTCTCATACAGTTCTTCAGCGAGAGAACCTGTGAAACCTCTATGATGATCCAAAACTTTGGAATATATTACATGACCCGTTCAACGACGCCAGAGTCGGAAAAATAATTGTAGAGCCTTGATACAATAAGAGAAAAAACAGGCTACTCCACGCATTGACTCTGGTAATGATGATCCACCAACATGTGCCGCCTACGAACAACCTGATTACCCAAAAACTCACCTCCCAACCTTTGGAACAACAAGCACCGCATCGCCCATCATAAAAACAAAAAAAAACATTGCATAGTAAATTAATTTCCCTCCATGACGAAGCTGGGAGAGTGTTCCACGTTGTGAAGAAAAACACCAAGAAAAAAAAATATTTCTCCAACCACTTCAAATGGCAAAGGACCATTTCTCATGGGCAATACCACAAAAGCGGAGGGGAAAATACCTCTAAACAATAAAATAATTCTTCTACACAAACAAAACAACACACAACCTCAACAAAAAAAGTTAACCTTATAACTATACAACTTTATTTTACATATCAAGTCTAAAGCCAATTACATGACGCAACACGAAACGCGTTGTTATATATTACTCATCAACCACTACGATATTACAAGAAAGCACAAAACAACGAAAATAATAAACTGACAGCGTTCTCATTATGGTTTAAAATATGAGAAAAAATATCTAAATGAGGAATGAACTCTACAAATATAATTCTCTCCGCGAAAAAAAAAAATAATAATTTCCCTCAACCTCCTCGCAGCTCAATAGAATCAGAAAAAACAGAAGAAAATTAAGTTAAACGAGAAAAAGTACGGGGACAAGATAAAGAAACAAATAAAACAGATAATTCTTATTAGCTAACCACTCAAATATCTTCATCATTACTAAGACAAAAATAACAGAAAAAGGGCAATCCAAATAAAAAAAATAGATCAACTTACCAACACATACACAACAATACAATTAAAATGAATTGAGACCCAAATAAACATAGGTAGCTGCGGCTCAATATGAGGCACGTACACAAGATAAATCTATGCGCTGGAGCAATTGAAATCATAAAAACGTCAATACAAAATCATCGGCAAAACCACTAGAAGTAGAGACAAAGAGCACTACGCAATAACATCATCCTAGTCATCGAAATAGTAATAACAATGTATTAATGCAACACCAGCCATCACAGTAGATTGTTCAAAAAAAAACTGACCAGCAACAAAGTAGACAAAAGAAAGGTAATGGAGTGCATCAGAAGTTACTCATCATCAAAACAAAAAAAATCGATCACATCCCACTCCTTCAAAGAAAACACACTGAAAACAAAATAAATAATACTGGTAAATAGGCAAGCAAACGACAACAACAACATTATGAGTGCAGAGAGAAAAAAGATTCACCCCCAAAATACTTGAAAAACTCTTTAAATCTTTAAACTTACATTCTCATATACATATATAATCATCATTTCTCAAGGCACATTGTGAATGCATTTTTTTTCTTATTATTTATTTACTGTGAAAGCATTGCTATTTTTAACGTCACCACGAACCCAAGTTCATAAAACACAACCTTGTGATACACACTAATTAAAAAAAACAACAACTATATAGTAGAATTAAGTCGTTCCATTACGTGTGTTTGCCACATATCCGCGAAGCACACACACACAACAATGACGCCAAACTAAGAGGGCAAAGCAAAACAAAAAAAACAGCAAAACATCCGCACCCACATGCAGGGACCAACAGGAAGAATAATAATAAACGAGTGCACCACAATGGCCCCCAAAAAAAAAAAAACAACAACAAGAGAAATCATTTAAACAAAGTCAATATGACCCAATAAAATGAATAGTACAAAAGACAACGAGAGCGGCATGAAACAGCGACGCCCTTCAGCGGGAACCGACCCGGCGCCGCCCGCTTCTCCGTCGCCCCGCGAATGGCTGTGAATTTTTCGGGCAACCCCGACCTGCGGGGAAACAGCGCGCGCACTCCACAATGGGGTTGCAGGCCGTTGTTTAGCGCGCCCCGCGGGTGGCGTGTGGGGCGGTCTTGTTTTTTCTTTTGCTGGGTGCTTGGCTGTTTGCGGGTGAGGTCCGCCGTGTTTCGCCCCTGGCGACAATATCGCTTCTCCTTCTCTGGGGTGTGTGCGGGTGAAAAACTAGGTCCTTTTTTTTTCGTGGGGTTCGCCTTTTGGTGGGGAATCTTGCCTGTCATAAGCATATGTCTTTTTTGTAGAGCTCTGCGAGTAAACGCGAGTTTTTTTCTTTGAAAAATTGGGGAATACAAAACCGTCTTTTTATTGTGATCGTTACCCTTCTTTTGGACTCGAAGAGTTGTGATTTCAGCTCTTCCCTTTCGTCACTATAGGAACGTCGCAAAGCAGGCCTAAATACCGTTGTATTGTTTCCTTTACTGTTTTTTTTACTTTGTAGCATGTAAAGTTTCAGTATTATCCATT